GATCTTGCTACTCTTTCCAAGATGCAGAGTACTGGGTTTTGTTCCTCAACAACTTCACTCTGGATCTCATTATGGTTCCGTCAATGCAATTTTAATGTTTTGAGTAGAGATCATTAAAATGGTTTTAGTAATGTTCTCTAATTTGCCTGTTTTGCACATGCGAAAAAATTTAATAATCAATCATATCTATGCATTATAATTACATTACCATTGGCTTTTTTGATTGAATTGCAGCGTGCCTCTGTAAAAGATTGAAATTAATAGGTTTAAGAAGGGGACGTGCTACCCTCCATTTGTAGGAAAGCTGTTGTCAAAGTAATTGTCTGTTCCTTTTTGTTTGTTTTCGTAAGTGGGGTAATGTTGCTTTTATATCTGGCTACTTGTTTATTGTTAAGTCGAAACTGCAAAGCCCTGCATGGTGCATTGATTTTTTGTTGATTAATGAGACATTAATCAACATAAACTACAAAGCCCTCCATGCAAATCGCCATTGGCAATGATCCTTCCTAAAGAAAGGTAAATAATAGGCAAGAGAATTGAAATACGGCAATCATATTTCTCAGGTCAATATATCATCATAAACTTCAACCTTTCAAAGACCATTTAAAACTCATATAAAGAGTACTTGAGAATGCAGAATCTTGGGGAAAAAAAAACGGAAAAAAACAGACACATACCTGCACCTTTCATTTGGAATATCCTGATCCAATAGCAACAAATTACTAACAAACATAGCGTTTATAAACTTCAATTACTTGTGTGCTTTTTTTTTCTTCTGTTAATAAACAGAGCCTTGGTTGACAAAGTCTAAGCATCGCTTGTTTTGTTCAACTTCTATATCTTCTTTCTTGTTTCAAGAGTTTATTTAGTCATTGTTTCAGATTACTCTCTATGATTATGTTGTCATTTAACAGTTGTTTAGCCTTGACTCAAAATGTCACCAAATTATTATGGTTCTTAATGTATAACATCAATCCATTTCTTCCTATAGACTAATGAAAAAAAAAAAAAAACACACCAGATCAAACTACAGCAACAAGAAACGAATTTACATGTTCTTTTTCCGCCCTTAAGTTGAAAGACAACCCAGGTAAATTAATTAATTCCATTGATAGTCACACTTTCAATTTTTTTAACCTGTCAATTAACATATATGATAATATAATATAAAAAGGTTATGAAAAAAATATAATTTAAAATTTTAATAAAAATTATACATAAATTTGATAAAAAAAAATTTTTGTTTTAACATAAATTGTAATACAACAATTTTTGTTTTTGACACGTGATTAACAAGAATAAGATCTACAATTTTTCATGACAGGGCTACAACTGAACATCTGTCTTACCATGTTTCATGCCAATTATCTCCGGAAGATGTTTATCTTACAGTTGATTGCAATAACTCAATCGAGGTTATAATTTCTGTCCCAGCTAGTCCTAGTGCAAATTTTCTTTTTCCTAGGCTAGGGTACCCAATGTATGAATCTCGTGCTGCTTTTAGCAATCCTTGAAGTAAATTTGCAATGTGATGAGAAAGAAATGCAAGCTTCAATAATTTTGAGCGAAGTAGCAAGGTAGAAATCCTGGCAATTGGTTAAACTATGCATATTTAATATCAATGTAGCGTTAAAGGTTTTTACTTATAACAGGGTTAATTGTGGGATTGAGTTTTGCCCTTGATCAGATAGATATATATATATATTAAAGCTAGAAACAAAATTATAAACAAGAGAGGATGGTGCAAGAGAAGATGATGAAAAGGAGAAGATTGGAGTGAGAGTGGCTCCGGAAGACTCTGATTTCCTTCCTCAAAGAACCCTTATTTTTAGATTTTACAAACCCAAACTAGGTAACCATGGTTAGGTTATAGTACCAATTTACTGTACACTGCTTTTTACAATACACATTTTACTACGGCTGTCAGCTGTCTTTCAATTGTCTGCTACAGTAATTTTTGTTGGAGATTGAGCTATCTTTCAATTAGCTGCTACAATGCTTAAGATAAGCTTAGTTTGGCTTATCTTTTTTGAATATTATCCGAATTAATCAATTCTTCATCTTCAAGGTTAAAAGACTATGGAGATTTTGTTCTGGATTTATTCCACATTTGCCAATCTTATTGATATTGATATAGAAGATGTTAAGGATGATCAATATCTTCCATTTCTGATAATTTACATAGTAAATCAACTGTTTGTGGTTCTACTACTAGCTTAGAAATTGTTGGCTGCACCAAAAATTTTTCTAACAAAAATTCTTCTGCCATTTGTTGAAGCAAATATCCTAGGACAGGTTTGTGTTGTAGCTAAGGATAACAAAGTTTTTGCTAGGTTCATCATGAAAATTCTTGTTTGGAATTAATATTTTGAAGGATTTGAATATTTTAGAATTGCTTAGTTGAGCAAAACTGAATTTTCCAGGGCATCCATTGGTGGTTCTAGTGAAAGTCCAGACATAAGTTTAGATACCTCTTAGATCTGGTAGGGTTGGTAAAATTTTTTTCTTTGGTAACAACCGAGGAGGCTATGGATAACAAGATGAATATAAAAGAAGTGTTTGTCATTTTTGACAAATTCAGAGAATTTTGATTTTATGAAGGCAGGAAAATAGGTTAAACGGTGAAAAGAAAAGTTTTGTACAACTATTTCACCTACGATGCCCAATTCGATACTTTTTATATCGAATAATTCATGGTTGAGTCTAATTTTAATTTTGGTATTTATTCACCAAGATCTATTGTTTACAGATAGGTGGAAAAATAAAATTAAAAATTTTTTTCTTGTAACAGTTTTTCTGTTTCAAGAAGTATAATAGAATTTATTCTTTGAAATATTTCTTTTGGGAGAAATATTGCACCTTTTTCAAAGAGAAGTATTCTTTTAAGTTGAGTTAATTTTGAAGATTGTTTTATCATCAAAATATTCACAAAGTTGCAAGAAATTGTTTATTTCTTGATTGGAGAACTGGTTTTCTTCAATTGCAAAAATGTCAATATCTTGTTGTTTTAGCAGATATGAAGAAAAAAGATTTTTGAAAACTGATTGATCAAAAACCTATTTTTCTTTATCTTGTTTAGCTAAAAATTCAGCTAATTTGGTCATCTTTTTTGAAAATTTGTTTTATTTTAGGAGAGATGGGATTATCAAATATTGTTGATCATATTGTATATGTCAATAGGAATACCTGGATCATAGAAATTTTTTATTTCTATATCCTTTATTTTTGTATTTTTGAAAAGTTTTTCTGTTGAAGATACAATTTCTGAATAAGAAATTGGTGTCAATATATCTGGATCTTAAGTAAAATGTGAATAGAAAGGAGTCCGCATTACTAGTTATAGTGTGGGAGGTTGATAAAAGGGTCTTTTAGGTAGATTTTAAGGTAGATACCCATAAGGAGTTTTTTTTATAGAGTCTTGGGTTAAGATTTTGTGATGATGGAGGAAATGTAGAAAAAGAAGTCAAAATCTTTTTAATTTGCTTTTTTTGAATTGTTTTCCATTTTTCCTGATTTTATAGGGGTTATTTACCCTTGTCCATCTCATTTATTAAGTAAATCTGCAAGAACATTTTTATCACCATTAATAAATTCAATAGTTTGATTGATAATTTTATTGATTATTTTATCACCATAAGTAAATTTGCAAGAATATTTTATTGATTATTTTGATTTCTGTGGATATAGATTTTGGTTTCAAATCTTTATCACGAATATGTTTATGGTGTTTAATAAGAGGTATTTTAATAGATTGATTATCTATTGTGAGAAATATATTTTCTTGATAAAGACTAAAAGAAAAATAATTAGGCAAGAAATTTGTTCTAGGAGGATATTTCCATGCATGTAGCAAAACAAATAATTTTTGGAATAATAAACTTAGTATTATTAAAATATACAAGTATATTTTTTACTTTAAAACCAATGATGGTTTCTTTACCATCAATGCTTATAATAGCTATAAGATGTTTCATAAACTTCCATTTGTTTAATGGTAAAGCATTTTTTCTACAAGTAAAGATTGTTGCTCCAGCATCTATAAGGATATATAGAGAATAAGGTTTGCATTTTTGAAATCGAAATTCTTCTTTAATATAAGTGTAAAACCTTTTTGGTTGTTTTATTAGAAAAGGTAATTACATCATCATCTCTGATTTTATATTATGAGATAATATGTAATTTTTTTTTATTTCTTTAGTTTTAGTTTTTTTGGATAAAGTTTTAGAATTTAAAACAGAATTTACAGTATGAAAAATAGAGGGTTGTGATTGATTATCACTTGAAAAAAATAAGAATTTGAGTATTGTTTATATTAAAAAATCTTTGAAAATCAAGGAAAGAACTTTTGTAAGGTGTAGCAAAGGATTGATTGCTATTGATACTTTCAATGTGATTAGATAATGAGATATTGAAAAGAGGTAAAATTAATCCAAAGTTAGGATTAGTAGGATTTTTAAAATAAAAGTTTTTGCTCGAACTAAAAAATTCAAGATAATTAATTATATTGTTGTAGGTTTCTCTTTATTTATATCTTTTAATAATTATCCTGTTGGGATGGATAAATCCCCAATATTCATAAATCTTGATTTGATTTCAAAATAAAAAAAAATCATGGTTCAACAGGGAATAACTACAGAAAAAAAAAAAGAAAAAGTAATCCACTTTCTTTGTATGGACAAATAAGGTTAGAAATTCATTTTAGTATGTGTACGACTTAATCACATGGCAGATGGCACCCAAACCATCCAAAAGAAATCCATGAGGAAGCCCATCAAGATTGGTCCAAATTCAACAAATGGAGTTGGATCCCTACCCAGACCCACTAAGAAAGAAAAAGGGCAACAGGCCATTCCATTTTGTTACCGTTGTATCACTTGCACGAGAGTCAAGGTCCCACCATCAGCCGCCGTTAACATTCCAAAAATCCAAAAGAGCGAAAGCCCTCGTTCACTCCTCGCCAACGGCTCTTTCATGTTGTCTTTTTTTTTTTAAATCTCTCCCTTCACATTGAATTCAACTCCAACATCATCTTTTCACTCTTCTCATTTTCTGTCACAGAACGCCGGAAATCTTGCTCGCAATTAATACAAAGTAAAAATGGATTCAAATTCAACCCCACATTCACATCGCTCAAACCCAAGATCTCACGCCAAATCACCTTCTCGTCTAGCAAGAATCAGCTACTCTGTTGTTGAGTCCGAGGAGCAAGAAAGACCCACAATCCCAAATCTCTCTTTGGACCACATTTCTCCGTCCCTCAAGAAAACAACTACTCCAGCTTCACCATCCCCTCTTTCTCTCAGATCATCTATCAACTCTCTGCCTCTCCAAGAACTTTTGCTCCTCTCTTCTGCCTCTCCTCTGCGAAGATCAAGAACCCGACTCGCCGATAGGATTGAAATGGCAGAGGAAGGTGGTTCTCGTAGGAGATGCAAAAGCAGGACTGCCCAGATGGGTCTTTTGGGATGTGGGTCCCCTAGGAACAATAGAAGGTCAAGGAGGAGAATGGAGATGGAGTCAAGAGAAGATAGGGATTTGGTTTTGGGGGAGGAGATAGGGAAACCAAGAAAAAGGCGGCATTGTGGGAAATCAAAGAAGGAGAAACTCAGTTTGGTCCCTTGTCTTCCTTCTTCAAGTTTCTCTCCAAGTATGCGTTTTTGTTTTTCTTCTTTTTACGTATCCTGTTTTTTATTTGTTTCTTTTTACTGATCTTTCATTTTTTTTTTTTAATGGTTCCGAAGCTGATGATTGCAAAAAAAGTAATATTGATCAAATGGGGGAGATGATTAGTCATTTGGTTATGTGGAGGGATGTTGCAAAATCAAGTCTGTGGTTTGGATTCGGATGTTTATGTTTCTTGTCTTCTTGCTTTACCAAAGGAGTTACTTTCAGGTAATGTGTCTTCTGCTCTTCTATCTTGCTACATTGATTCTCATTATCGAGTTTCACCCGAGTCATCTAACTCTCCTTATTTTCATTGTCTTTAGCATTTTTTCCGTGTTATCTCAAATCGGTCTTCTATTTTTGGTCGTTTCCTTCTTCTCCAACTCAATCTGTCATAATGTTGAGAAAAGGAAGGAGCTCAAGCTTAGAGAAGAAGATATTCTGAGACTAGCTAAACTGATACTTCCAGCAACAAATCTTGCAATTTCAAAGATGAGAGAGCTGTTCTCTGGGGAACCATCTATGACCCTGAAGGTGATAACTAAAACTTCAAATTTCATTCCAAGACTCGTTCTTAATACTTCAAACAAGCAAAATAAAATTTGCCTAAATGAATAGACTTAAGTTAGGAATAATAAAACAAAATGGTTAGTTATATCGGCCTCAGGCTTGTTTTTCTGGTTCCAGGTAACTCCATTGCTCCTCCTTGGAGCTGAGTATGGCCACATTATAACCCTGCGGAGGCTCTGTGCGTTTGGTATATAATCATTACAATACCCTATCTGTCTCCCAACGAATCTTTATTAAAGAAGTTTGCGATTATCTAAAATTTTGATGTGGAATCGCTTTTTGCATTGGAGCAGGATTTTTCATTAGTTTCTCCATGCCAAAACTGTACTCGTGCTACTCTAGTCAGATAATACAGAAAGGTATACAATAAGCCCGCATATACTTATAGATTTGTTTTTGGTATTTGCAATTTAGTGATGAAAGTAAACTTGGGTATGCAGCTGAGTACATGAAACAATGGGCTATTGAAGCTTGGGGAGCTTGCTCTCATAAAAAGGTTGTGGCAGCTTCAGCAGCCACAGCCTTTTGGAATCTCTCTAGTGTAAAAATGCGTATCTTCACTGGTAAGTTGAATATGGCAGTATTCCAATAATCTTAACTACGATCTTACTGCTCTCCTTTGGCTAACTTTGATTACTTTCTTGCAGCATTCATATCTCTGGTTATAATCAGGTATTGCCGGCAACATATTGTGCAGAAGTCAGGTGAAGGGCAGACGGAAGAAATGGAACGAGAGCAGCCAGAGCAGGCTTTGGTGGTAGCAGGAGAGAAATCACAGAAAAACTAATTTTGCTTCTGTACTCGTATTAAAATTTTCAAACAAATAAGGTAGTCTATGTAAAACTAATATGAACTTTTTGCCAGCGATCCCTCAAAAATATTATTAGATTCATCTCCTCGGGAGTGTTGAGGTAGATTCAATGTCTTGAGTTTGCATAATATGGTTGATGCAAATTAAAGATTGGCCTTATAAAAGGGATTTGACAATTTTATTATCAGAAACTATATTTCGGGTGATAATTTTCGTCTAAAGAATCAAAGAACAAGAAGGAACAAGAAAAATGAATGAAATCACTTTGCTCAATCATCTAGATGATCATATAATCTGTGTGAAAAATAACATGAAGCGTTCATGTTTGACATAAAAGGCGTTTGTTTCTTTTGCTCACCTTTCATCTTCGTGGCCGCAACTCCTCAAAAATATTATATTAGATTCATCTCCTCGCGAGTGTTGAGGTTGATACAAAGTGATGATTTTGTATAATTTGGCGGACGCAAAACAATGATCGGCCTCCTTAATTTGCATCAAAGGCATTAAAGAAGAGGAAAGAGCTGAAAAAGAAAAGAACAAAAATCACTTTGCTCAATCAGACCAGATCCAGTCATTTTGTGTGATCTTTTTCTGATTGATATTTCTGCAAAGATGTTTCTTTCATCATTGGAGCTTTCGGTTCAGCAGTTGCAATCACTGATCCGTCTGCCCCACTCCCCGTCTTAAATTCAAGAGATATCAGGTTTGAAGCCCTTGTCTATTATATTTATGCAGATCCCAAACTTGTTGATGCATTGCATTTCAAGCCTGAAGGAAAAGATCTTCAAATGTAGAAAAAAATTTACAGCATGAGCACACTGACAAACTAGAGAAGATGACATACATATAGACTTCCCTTGGCATTAACTTTTATATGCAGAGCCATAACAAAAAGTGATAAATTGTACTAATATGATCATTCCTTTCATTAGAATCTAAAGCCTTAACTGTGATATTTTGCTTTTATTGGGGTTAATCCCCCTATCAAAGGGAGATTTCTTTGATAACAATCCACTGTTACTGACAATTCAAGGAGGCCACGGAAATTGAATCACACAAGTAGGATTTTGACCTTGTTTTTATATTTTGTCAAATTCTAAAATTAATATTGTTTTCTTCAAGAGGAGTCCATTGACATTGAGGACTTTGATAAAGACAGCAAAAACCGACCGTTTAAGGTGATTGTAAAAAGTGATCATTCATGTTTATTTTTGGGTTAATATCATAAAAGACCCTTAATCTATAGTAAAATATTTAATGTAACACTAAATTTTTAAAATCTTTAATATTGTATTTAAACTGTGAATATCTTAACTAATATGATGAATGATGAGTTATTTATTTATCATGTATCATCATTTGAAATTTACTATCTTAGAGGTAAGTATCACTTTAATTAATATATTCATAATTCATGTATTATATTAGAGGTTTTTAAAATTCAAATACCATATTAAATATTTTTTTATAATTTAAAAACCATTCATAGCATTAATCTTTTATTTTTTAACAATTTGTGTGAAAGTGAAAAGATTGGCTAGTGATTCCTTGCTTTTATCCTTATTTCAGGTATGCATCTATATTGAAAATTAAGATTTCATGGACACTTCAAAAATTAAAATGTAAAAAAAAAAAAATTTGAAGAAAAAAGCCTTTTTGGACACTCTTAAATTTTCCTATGGACATCCCAAAAATTAGAAACAAAGAAAATTTAAAAGAAAACTTTCCCTGTATGCTTTAAAAATTTTCTTCCAGATACTCTTGCCGTTGACAAGTGATAAATCCATCAACAATTATATATATATATATATATTTATATTTATATATATTATGATTGGATACTTTCGAAAATAATTTTGTACCCACAACTATCTTATTTCATCTATAATATATATATATATAAACATTAAAAAACATAGTCTTCTTTGTGTCTCAAAACTATAATTTTTTTTTTATTTTGAAAAGATAATCTTCATTAGATCGTAAGATAGTACTTTCGGCAAGAATTACGTCTGACATAATGGAGGGACATTCATTGACCCGGTACATTGACTCTATGGGTGATCTAAAAGCATTTTTTGCTAATCTGTGTGCAGCCTCGTTTGCCTCTCTCTTAGCATGGACAACAAAAAAATAGTGAAAACCTTGCCCTAGTAGCTTTGCATCATTGATCAACTCACCAACCATCAATAAACTTTCTTCATCAGACTTTATTTGGTTTGTGACCTCTAAAGCATCGCCTTCAATTATGACTAACTAAAATCCTAATTCCTTTGTAAATTCAATAGTTTTGATCACTGCTAAAACTTCTGCAACTGTGAGATCTCTGACTCGCTTCACTATTGTTGAACATGCCCCTAGAACCTGGCTTGTTCCATCCCTTACCACAATCCCAATTCCACACACGCTTTCTTCTGCCTTTAGTGCTCCATCAAAATTTGCCTCGACACATCCATTAACTGGTGCTCCCCATCTCACAATTTCATTAGTAACATAAGAAGCTGTGCGGGTTTGGGCTCATCTGTATTCCTCTAAGTGTCTCCCAATGAATGCCATAATGTCTTTAGCTTTTTTAACTTCATTGGTTTTGATTTCTACATTTCTGTTATGCCAAATCATCCAGCTTATTGTCAACCCCATTTCCAAACTGTTCTGATCCACCCTCTCAAACATGTTACGAAGCCAACCTTTCTCGGTTTCTAACTCTGTATAAGTTCATTCTAGTCCCTAACAACCCATGTTCCAAATTTCCTTTATTGCCGTGCTTCTTTTTATCTCATGCATTAATGTTTCTTTTTCTTACCCACATCTTTGGCATATCTCTTGCACCTCGATTACCTGCTTCTTTAAATTGCTGAATAATGGTAAAATCCCATTGTTTAGGTGCCATCTAAAAACCTTTATCTTTGTTGGTAAATTCAGTTTCCATAGTTGTTTCCAAAAGCCATTTTCTGATGCAGCAGTTATGTTGTCCTCATGTAGTCTGTTAAGTAATCTGTATGCGCTTCTCACTGAATATTCACCATTCTTTTTTGGTCCCCATACAGGTTGATCCTCTCTTCCCATACGTCCTCGAGGTATACAATAGATCATGTGTGCTTTCTCGTCTGAGAACAGTTTTTTAATCTCTTCTTCTTTCCACTTTCTTTCATTCAGATCAATCAAGTCCGAAACTAGCTTATATTGTGTACTCAATGTCATTTCACCACATGGTTCTAGTTTCTGAAACGGTTTAGCCCACTTATCCAGCCAAAATTTGATCTTGCCTCCATCACCCATTATGCATTGTAAACCTATTTCCAGAACTTTTCTGGCAACCCAAACACTACACCAAGTAAGTGTAGGATTTGCAACCATTTCTAATTCCATAAAGTTAGAATTAGGAAAGTATTTCGCCTTAAGCACTTTGTACACCAGTGACTATAGTCTTCTCATTATGGGCCAACCTTGTTTCCCTAAAAGCGTTACATTAAAGCTCGTAGCCTCTTTGAAGCCCATTCCTCCAATCGCTTTACTCTTACAAAGTTTCTCCCATTTCAGCTAGTGGATACCTCTCTTTTCTGGTTTCAACCTTCATCAAAACCTGCTCATAATGCTATTTATCTCCTTACACAAACCTTGCAAAAAAAGAAAATAGCTCATGGCATACATTGGCACTGCTTGAAGGACCGTTTTTTATATAAACTTCTTTCCCACCTTTAGATAACATCCTCCCACTCCAATGTTGTATTCTTCCCCTTAACCAATTTGTTATCTCTCTGAATGCTGCTTTCTTCTCTTTTCAACCATAGTTGAAACTTCTCGATATTTTTCTGGATCTGCTGTCACTTGGATTCTGAAAATATGTTTGACACTTTCCCTACACTTTTTCAACATGTTTTTGTTGAAGAGTAAGGATGACTTGTCATAGTTGATTTGTTGTCCCGAACTTTTCTCATATTTTTGCAACACGTGCCTCACCTTCATACATTCCATTGGATTTGCCTTTATAAATAGCAAGCTATCATCTACAAAAAAGAAAAAAAAAAGGTGAGTAATTCGGGGACCATTCTAACTAGCCCTTGTACCAGTTATCCATCCTTCTGTTTGGTATTGCTTCAACATAGTTAAGAAACCTCTTATACATAGAAGAAATAAATAGGGTGAAAGAGGATCTCCTTAGCAAAGGCCCCTTTATGGACAAAAACTGTCACTAAAATTGCCATGAAAGACTATGGAATATGAAACTGAAATTATGAATCTCATGATTCATGAAATCCATTGATCAGCAAAACCCATCTTCTGCATAATGACTTCTAGAAACACCCATTTCACCCTATCATAGGCTTTGCTCATATCTTGTTTTAAGGCAACATACCCATCCTTTCTCAATCTTTTGTGTTTTAAAGTGTGTGTAATTTCATATGCCACCAACACATTATCAATAATCAAACGCCCCGGGACAAAAGCACGTTGGGATTCACTTATATAACTAGATAATATTTGCTTGAGCCTTTAGCTAGAGTTTTCAAAACGATTTTATAAATTACATTGCATAAACTTATAGGTCGAAAACTGGCCATTGTTCTGGGGTTTTTTATTTTGGGAATTAAGACTATGTTAGTATTGTTCACTTCATAGATCTGCCCTTCCCCATTCAGGCAAGATAAATAAAAATCAATCACATCTTTTCCAATAATATGCTAGTATATATGAAAGAACAAAGCAAGCATACCATTAGGTCTTGGAGCTTTTGTTAAATGCATTTCTTTGATTGCCTTATGAATTTCCTCCATTTGAACTCTGCAAGAAGGAACTCGTTCATCTTATTTATGACTCGAGCATTTATCCCTTGAAGGATCTTATGGAACGTAGTTAGTCTTTAGGATTCAAACAGTTCTTGAAATAGCTAAGGACTATGCCTTGCATCTTGTCTTTAGCTTCACTCTATTTCCTATACCCATCTTCTAACCCCTTAACGAAATTATTCCTTCTTCTACTAGTTGCTTGAGCATGGGAAAAAAGCTGTATTTTTATCCCCTCAACCAGTTTATTCTCGATCGTTGTTGCCAGAATAATTCATTATTTTCCAACAAATAATTTATGTTGGCTCTTAACTCCTTTCCTTATATTTTCCACGTGCGGGTTCTGCATTTTAAGCTTCCTATACTCTGAGCTCAACATTTTGATCTCATTATGAAACTTTCCAAATATGGCATTGCTCCATATGCCTAGCTCTTTTCTTACTTCGGCCATCTCTTCTTT